TCCTCATTTTGTCCTTTCTCCTGGTGTGCCTGATAATTTTTTTATTAAGTAGTAGATATGATGTAGGAAATGTGCAAGGGTCGTCTGAGGCCCAGGCTGGTGTCTTCACCTCCAGAGGATTTATTTTTGTGGGAAGAGCAGGGGTGGGTCATCTGAACGCACTCAGGGGAGGGGCTGCATGAAGTCCGCCTCAGACCTTTGGGCAGCTGATCCAGCTTCTGTTTGTCCCACTCCTGGCAAAGTCCATGCTCCCTTTCCAGGTCCCCACTGAATGTCTGGGAGTTTCCCAGGCCCTTCCTCCCTGGCAATCCTCAAATTCCAGGTTTTATCTCCCTACCCTGTGCGTTGTCCGAAGCTCTCAACCTCCAAGCTCCAAGCTCATCGGCCACCAGCAGTGCCCTGAGGGGTTAGAAAAGTGTCAGGTGTCCAGTGGTCTGTGAGCTCCGCATCTGCCCAGGATGTTAGCCCTTTGAGGCTGGATTGCCTTGTCACCTCCAAAACACCTTCAAAACATGTGTCCAGCTTTTCTGGTTGTTTTCGGCTGCAGACTTGGATGTAAGGTATACAGGCAATCCCACTGCGGCCAGAGGAGGAAGCTGTCCCACATCCACACGCACAGCTCTAACCCTAAAACAGCGCTTCAGAGTCGGGGAAGAGCAACGTCCTGTTCGCTGCCCAACTCCAAGCCCTGCGTCCCGGGCAGCCACACTCGGCCCCTTCCCTGCAAGAGGGGACACTCACTCTCGATTAACCAGCTTTGCACGTTACCTGTTGGTGAAGGTGATCAGTAACTCTGTGCCTGCAGCACACACACACTACACGTCTTCCCGTTCTCCCAAGACCTCTGGAAATAATTCTTACTATAATATTCTTCAGCATATGCATTAGGACTACATAAATGTAATAATGTTTTCTATCCTCATATATTTACTTACAATTAATATCATCTTTTTTCTTTGCTTAATTTGACCAAGAATAAATTCATTCCTAAACTCTCACCTTATGCTTAGCTCACCTCTCAATATTCAAACTCCTAGAAACCTGTCACTTTTGTCTTTCTCATGGACACAGCTCCCAGGCCTTTGACCCCTGCTTTCTAATTGGGACCTGCTGTGGGGCCCTCTCCCGCTTACCAGCAGACAGGGACCCTTCCTCACCCCCAGGTTGGACACGCCGTTTCCAAGGCCTCATGGCTTCCTTATTCTTGGTTACTGCCTTGGGCTCCCTGGGAGAGATCTCTATGAGGCTGAAAACTGGAACGGGAAGCCTCAGCATCCTGGACCCCCATGCCTCTTGGGAGGCAGGGTGGGTAGGCCCTGTACACCCTCCTGGTTTGGGCTGAGGGCATTAGGGGTACTGGGCATCTTTGGGGTGGCGTTAGCCCCCGAGTTGCTTTGGAAACTGTCATACTTTCTTCTGTCTTAGAACTCAGAATCCAAGAAATGGCATCCATGGGGATAGGCAACCAGCCATTCATGGACGTCAAGCCCAGCGACCAGGCCCCCAAATGTACAGTGATAAGCAACCGGGCCCGCAACAGCATCATCAAGGGCACAGGTACGGTGGCCTCAGCCCCACCCTCACTCGCCCTGCAGAGCGCACTGGGCCTGTGGCTGACACGGTGGGTTGGACGGGCATGACTGCAGGGGCACAGCCTGGTCGGCCTTTCGGACGGCTCTGATCCCGTTTCTGAACCTGGGCTGCACTTCTGGAGAGGAAGCCAGCCTGACCTGCTTTCTGTCCCTTTCCAGAGTCACAAATGAGAGGGCCCACCGCGGTGTCCTCCTCTGACCAGGCCACCCCCTTCAAGCGACCACACTCCACCATCTCGGACAGCAGCACCTCCTCTTCCAGCAGCCGGTCCTCCTCCATCCTGGGGTCGCTGGGCCTGCTTGTGTCCTCCAGCCCAGCCCACAGCCCCTGGTCATCTGACATCAGAGCCTGCATCGAGGAAGACGAGCCGGAGACGGGCACCCAGGCTGCAGTGCGTGAGGGCTGTAAGCCGCGCACGCCAGGCCTGACGACCATGGGGGTGGCGATGCCCATCGCGTAGCTAGAACGATACGTAGGGAGCAGCATGCCAGGCCTGACCACTGTGGGGGTGGCGGTGCCCATCGTGTAGCTAGAACGATACATAGGGAGCAGCATGCCAGGCCTGACCACTGTGGGGGTGGCGATGCCCATCGTGTAGCTAGAACGATACGTAGGGAGCAGCATGCCAGGCCTGACGACTGTGGGAGGGGCGATGCCCATCGCGTAGCTAGAACGATACGTAGGGAGCAGCATGCCAGGCCTGACCACTGTGGGGGTGGCGGTGCCCATCGCATAGCTAGAACGATACGTAGGGAGCAGCATGCCAGGCCTGACCACTGTGGGGGTGGCGGTGCCCATCGTGTGGCTGGAACAATCCAGAGGGAGCAACACAGCAGGTGTCCAGGTATTTCCCAGGATTTTAGACACTCCCTAACATTTTCAAACAAATTTAAAATGTTGTCTTATTTGAAAACAAACCTTCCACTTCCACCCAAGACAACATCATAGGAAACAGACCTAAAACAAGACAAAAAACGGACTAAACATGAAACAAAAGATGTCAAGACACAAGACATTTGGCAGCAAGGGACCATGATCCCTGAGAGACAGGAAAACGGGAGGTGAGCCTGGTGGTGGCCTCAGACCTCCCTCCGCCTTGACAGTTCGCAGGCCTCCGTGCAGGGAGGGGCCCAGGAAGAGCCCAGCAGCCTCCGTGAGTTGAAGAGACCAAGTCAGCAGGACTTTGCAGGTCGGAGTGCCAGAGAGAGATGCCTACGTGGGGAAGGACTCATCAGATCAGCCCCTCCAGCAGCCGGTGGGGTGCTGCCATTCTCACACTCCGACAGGGAGGCTACCAAGGCTGGGAGAGACCTTTGAAAAGACCAAAGATCCCTTTCTGGTACTCGTGGGCTGGGGACAGGACCCTCTCCCACCAGCCAGACTGGGAAAACAGGATCTGTGAGCATTAGGTGGAGTTCTCAGAAAATCTTGCCTCAGGAGTGGGGATAATTAGCCCTAGACTGAGCCCTGCTCCTCACCCACCTACAAAATCATAAAAGCAAGACCTGAAATGATCGGACTGTTCCCAGATAATTCACTCCATCCCAGAACAAAGCTCCAGACGATCTATAGGTTACCAAAGTGTCCGCACCCTGCAAGGTAAACTCTCAGTGCCTGACCTCCGAGTGCCAGGCGTGCAGAGGAGCAGCCAAGCACAAACACGTCAAGGAGAGTCGCCCGGCAAAGGCAACCACCCGGAGCCGGCATCGGTGCTAAAGTCACAGAACTCAAACTGTGGCTGAAACCGCAGCCCAGACATCCAGAAAGTTAAGAAATAACGAGGAAGAGATGAAGAAGACCCAGACCGACCTTACAGGGATGAGAAACTACAATATTGACGGTAAAAACTACCCTGGATGGGGTAACAGATTGGATTTCACAGAAGAGACCATGAGGCACCTTGAAGACGCATCAGTAGAAGCTGTTTGCATTAGTCGGGCCTCCAGAGAGATGGAACCAGTAGGAGATAGACGATGATAGATAGATAGATAGATAGATAGATAGATAGATAGATAGATAGATAGACAGACAGACAGACTGACAGGTGAGAGGCCTTAGGGGCATTGGCTGACACAATTTTGGCAGGTCAAGAGCCCCACAATAGGCCACCCACAAGCTGGAGACCCAAGGAAGCTGCTAGTGTAGCCCAGTCCAAGTCCTGAAGCCTCAGAGCCAGGGAAGCCAATGGTGTAATTCTCAGTCAGAGGCCAAAGGCCTGAGAACCTGGGGGCCACTGGTGTAAATCTGGAGTCCCATAGACCCAGTGAACTCCAAACACAAGAGATATGAGTGCACATCATAATCCAATTGCATAAAACCAGTGACAAACAGAAAATCCTAAAAGCAGTCAGAGGACAAGGGCATGTTCTGTTGGGAGGCACAAAGCCGATGAGGATGGCTGACTCCTCAGAAGCAGCACGGGTGAGAGACAGTGGAATGTACTAAGGAGAAAACTGCCAAATTCACATTCCGTACCTGACAAAATATTTCCAAAACAATGGTGACATAAAGACATTTTCATACACACAGAAGCTAACATAATTTTGTCACCAGCAGACCTGCAGTACAAGAAACGTTAAAGGATGTGCTTCAGGGAAAAGAAGAATGAAGAGCATGTGCACCATTCAAAATTTTCCTCTTGTTATTTAAATCCCTTTAACCCATCTCCCATTTGCCCCAAGAAATGAGCGCTGGCAGTGAGCTGCAGTTTTTTTTGTTGTTGTTGTTTCTAAATGGGAAATGGGTTAAAAGATGAGTGGCTTGGCCAGGTGTGGTGGCTCATGTCTCTAATCCCAGCACTTTGGGAGACTGAGGCCGGAGGATCACTTGAGCCCAGGAATTAGGGATCATCCTGGGAAACATGGCAAAACTGCACCTCTATTAAAAATAAATAAAGTTAACTGACTGTTTAAACACAAATATTAACGTATCTGCAGTTTGTACTATACGTATAGGTGAACTGTGTGACCACAGTGGCCTGAAGGCTGGGAGACGTTGGATGTGATATGTGAAGTGAGGTGGTATCACTTGAAGGTAGATCGTGGTAAGCTAAAGATGTACTTACAAACCCTTGAAACAACCACTAACAAAGAATTACAGCTTAATAGACTAACAGAGGAGATAAAATGGAATTTTTAAAAGTCCAGTCCAAAAATATGTAGAGAAAGAAGGAAAGGGAAGAATGGACTTGGGGGTGACACAGAAAACAAGTGGCGAGACTAAAGCAGCAGCGGCCGTCGCAGCAAATAGGGGCGCAGGATGTGAGTCACAGACAGGCCTGCTCTCTGGATTGGTGACCGCATGAGTCACTTCACAGGTCTGTTCTGTGTCCAGAGTTGTCAAACTGCATGATTTAAAGATGTGCAGTGGATCGTATGTCACTTAAATCCCAACAAAGCAGTACTTTTTTAAAGTACAATCAAGCACACAGCACTTCCCCGGGGAGGCAGGGGCTGTGCCCACAGAAGTCGGTTACCCCTGCATCCTGAGTGTGGACAGCCACCATCACACAGCCCCAGAGGCTGCCCAGGCTGTAGCCTCACTCTGGCACTGCCAGGGACAGGTGCCCTCAGGAACCCAAATGCCATTGCCCCCGTGAAAGCCACTTTGAGAGTGTTGCCTCAAATCAGAAGGCATCTATGCCTGGTCAGGGGCTGTGGACGAGGAGGCTGCTGGGGGCCCAGGTGTGCAGGGGGCAGGGCCCAGGTGCAGGGGCACAGTTTATGCCTGTGGGCAACCCACTGGGGAGCAAGGCTGGGGATACACCCAGTCCAGCAGGGCCAGCAGGAGTGACTGCACCATCCTGAACATGTCCTTGGGCCTCCCAGGACCTTGGTGCCTCCCATCTGGGCTGGCACAAGCCTCCAGTCAAAAGATGGGTCTCTCTCTTTCCTGATAGCTCGGAGCCTGGATGTGGGAATGGAGCCACACCAGCCCCACGGGAGCCCCACGGGAGCCCCACGGGAGCCTCAAGGCCCATCGGGCTGTGGGATACATCCCCACGGCCGGGTCCCCGCAGCCTGCGGCTTGGTCTGGGCAGATGCAGACGCCACCCTGCAGGGCTGAGGTGCCTGTGGGGAAGGAGGTGCCAGCCCTGGGAGGCCATCTTGCTCCTGCTTTTTATTTCACCCACGGGGCTCTTTGGCCTCATTTTCTGTTTTTTGAGTTTCACGTGCACAGCCAAACCATCCTGGAGCCAGCCCCGGTGGGAAACGGAGGCTTCCTGCTGCCAGAAGAGGCCTGCCGAGTTACGTCCACGCCAGCTGGACCTGGGCACCTCTCTCTCTGGCCTTCTGTCCACACTGGGGTTTGGCTCCGATTTCCAGAAGGCAGGGTTAGGAAACACCTGTTTCCAGGCAGCGTGATGCTTCTGTCTGAATCAGGCCTCATGCACTTCACCAACAGACATGAAGGTTTCATTTAGATGGAGAACACGCGTTCTCATTTCTCCGGAGTCCCGGGCCCATGAGCTGAAGCAGGTGCTGAGAAGGAGAGGTGGCCACTGTGTCCCTCAGGGTCACTCGCCCGGCCACATGAGGCCATTTCCGCTCAGCACTGCAGGTGCTGGGAGCTGAGGGCCCCACAGGGGACGTGGGAGACAGCCCCAGTGCGTCCCCATCCACAGTGACACCAGCCTGGAGTCATCGCCGAGCACATGGAGGGACAGCCCTGGAGCCCTGGCCTGACCCAGCTTCTCCCCGAGTCGCTTCCTGATGCCTCCCCAGCCCTGCCCAGGAGGGGTTTGTGGCCACAGCCCCACAGCGGCCCCCTCGCCTCGACTGCCATTGCCTCCTTCCAAGCTGCCTGAGCAATCCTGGGCGGTGAGCTCCAGGGCTCCCACCCACGCCTCAGCACCAGGAACCCCTAGGGAGGGTGTGGATCCTCCCCGCCCCCGGCCACACCTCAGCACTGGGACCCCCAGGGAGGGTGTGGGATCCCCGCCCCCGGCCCACGCCTCAGCACTGGACCCCCAGGGAGGGTGTGGATCCTCCCCACCCCTGGCCCACGCCTCAGCACTGGGACCCCGCCCCCGTCCCACGCCTCAGCACTGGACCCCCAGGGAGGGTGTGGGATCCCCGCCCCCGGCCCACGCCTCAGCACTGGACCCCCAGGGAGGGTGTGGATCCTCCCCACCCCTGGCCCACGCCTCAGCACTGGGACCCCGCCCCCGTCCCACGCCTCAGCACTGGACCCCCAGGGAGGGTGTGAGGATCCCCGCCCCCGGCCCACACCTCAGCACTGGGAGCTGGGAAGGTGATTTCCTCCCCCACCTCGGTACTGGGAACCCCCTAGAAGGTGTGGGGTCGGTCCCACTATCCTGAGTGCTCAGGGCTGGTGGTCAGTGAGGTGGTTTCTAAACCAAGTCCTGGGAGGAGCCATCTTGGGACTCTGCTGTGGACAAGGCTGGGGCTCCTGCAGTGAGCTCTAGCCCTCCCCGGGACCCTCCCACGGCCCCAGGGTGCCAGCCTTCGGATTGGCCCCATTCGTGGGCGGGTCTACAGGGCTCCCCAGTGCCCAGCAAGAGTGGTTTTACATTCAGAGGCAAGAAAGGGGCACCAGCATCTGCCCCAGACACAACCGGGCAGGTACAGAGGTCATCACCTCGGGGACAGCAGGAGGCAACTCAGGAGAGGCTGGTAAGACAGGACCGCGTCCCTGTCACTTTCCAGAGAAGGTCTCTTTTGTCAGGTGTCGTGAGGGCTGTGGGTTCAGCTGGGTCTGCGTCCATCCCCGGTTCTGGGGAGACACCCAGGCCCCTCCTGGGCGGCAGCAGCAGTGGAGGTTTGGGTTTTGAGGGAGCCCTGAGAAGCTGGGGGAGCAGGCCTTAGAGCACGGCACGCCCTGGAGAGTCCACGTCCCCAGACCCCTCGCGCCAACACCGTTCCAGCCAACGGTTTCTTCCCTGTGGTCAGAACAAACCCCCCAAGCCTCCGGCCTCAGGCTGGTTTTCCCAACAGGCAAAATGCTCCTTGCATAAGGAAAGACCTTTCCTGGCTGACCCTAAAGTAGCCGAGGGGACCTCACATCGCCTGGCCTGCCACCACCACCAGGCTGCCTGACCAGCTCACCGCCTTGTTCCAGATGCGTCTGAAGCGACGCTTGCCTGGCCCCACCCCATCAAACGTCTGCTGGGCAGCCTCACTCCCCATCCCGCCTATAGCTCCCAACGGTCTCAAGCCCTGGCGCCCCGGTAACCAAGTGCACCCAGAGGGCTGGCAGGGTCACACGGCGGCAGGGGGCCCATGGTCCCAGGGTGTTCGTCTTCCCAGGAGGCCCACCTGGCAAGTCAAAGGGCAGCAGGAGGCCACCCCATCTCCCCGGGTTCCCTTGAGCATTCCTCTGTCAGGAGCGGCTCCCCCGGCACCCGCCCTGCTCTCAGGAGCCCCCTGCCAGGTGCTCTGACCACAGGAAACGGGCCCTCAGGGCCACTGCCAGAGGACGGATTCTGCTGCCAACCAGAGGTCCTGGGGCTGGCGGCGCTGGTGTGCCTGCCCTGGGCCTTCAGCAGCCCCCATAAGGAGAAAGCTCTGGCCTCCCGTTCAGACAAGGCTCCGTCCTGGGGACATCCCTCTCCCAAGGTCCCCCACACGGGGGCTTTGTTACTCATGCCTCCCAGACTGCTTGCTGTGTCAGAGTTTTCACACCTGCCCGATGTCCTGGCGGGGCTCACAGAAGACTGACCCTGCAGGGAGATGGTGACCCACCCTGAGACCCAGGAGAAGAAAACAGCCAGGGCCCAGGCTGCTCCCACCATCCCTGGGGGATCGGCACCTTGGCTGAGCCTGAACTGACCACCTGGGGCATAGGTCCCAGATTTAATTGCAAAACGATGGGTGAATGTGGGTTCTGTGTGCCTGTGACATAGACTGTTTTCCACACCGCCTGTGAAATGACGCAAGAGCTTTTGTGTCACACGTGTAGCTGCTGCGAGACTGACGCTCTTGTTCCAGATCAGAGCAGTAGACAGAACTGGCACGTTTTAGGGTCCAAACCCTCTTGCCCACGGAAGGCGCCTGACACCAGCTGGGTGGTGCGGCCCCCGAGGCCCCGCCCGGTCCGGCTGGGACCTGGAGCTCCCCTCAAGCTGCAGCTCCGCCCTGCACCGCAAGGTGGCCTCGCAGAGGAGCCGCCCGAGCTTTGGAGCGGAGGCAGGTGCAGCGAAGCTCTCGGTCCTGCCGGGCCCCACCGTGTGTGAGGTCTCAGAGGCCTTGCTGGGTTCCAGGCCACGTCTGTGCTGTCACCGCTTTGAGGGGGCAGAGGGTCCTGGGGAGAGGCCTGTGCGACGTGAGTAACAGCTGTTTTTCTTTTGACAGCTGGGGTGGAGGTGGGTCCTCCAGGGAAAGCCTGGTCCTCGAGAGCCAGACTTGTGCACGGGCCTGGAAATGAAGCTCTCAGGCAGGGGCTGTTCACACCGACGGTCAGCACTGCTGCCCAGGGCCTGCAGTCACCCGTAATGGGCCCTGCCCCGTAGGCCTGGCCTCTGCTTCCCTCCTGGATGGTTCCTCTACCCCTGGTCCAGCAGGGACCCAGCACTGCCTGCCAGCTGTAGGCCCCCATGCTCCTGCAGCCTGGAACTCTCCTGTCCTCCAGAGGTCATCGGTGACCCAGGGTGGGAACACCAGAGCCCCCTGCTCCGTGTCCACCACCCATGGCTGGGCTCAGAGTGTCTCAGAGCCCGGGTGAGCCATCCTAGGACCAGCGTACCCATGACCTTTCAGACCAGCGAAGGCCAGTGGGCGCGATGGTCCAGGCATGTCCCCAAAGCAGGTCTGGCCATCTCTGCACAGAACTGGAATCTCGGTTCATTTCGGTTATAGCAGGTCCCGTGTAGTTAGCAGGACAGCACTTGACTTAGGTCTGAGTCGTGGCATTTCCTGTAAGGAGCCCAGAGCCGTGGCCCCAGGTTGGGACAGCGGCGCCAGAGCTGGGCCTGAGACTGATCCAACCTGTGCTGCTGGAATGGGAACCCCAAGAGGACCACCCCTCTCCAACAGAAGGGAAAACAGTAAGAGAGAGGGAGGCTGCAGGACCCCAGACCTTGGCCAACCTTCCCAGCCATGGTCTCCGCCCTCCAAAACCCAGAGGCCCCGCAGCAACACCAGGGTGTTGGGCCACACAGAGCCCGAGTAGGTAAAGGAAGGTTCTGGAAACGACTTTTCAGAACCCAAAAGGTGTCTGGGAAATGGTGTTACCTGCTGCTGTTGTAAACTGTTTACTTTGTATCAATAATGAATTGTTAACAATTTTAATTAGAAAAATCAATGGAACATGTTTTTCTACTTGTCTTGGAAAGGGGCCGTGTGTCTGGGGAAACCTCTTGCAAACCTCCGGAGGGGAGCCCCAGGGCCCACATCGGCCGGCTGACGGTGGCCACCCCGAAGGGTGGGGTTGGGGCCTACCCACCTCTTCACACACTCGTCCACCTGCCGGACAGTGCCTGGGCCCCACCACGGAGCACAGTCTCTTCTGCATGGGTCACCTCCCAGGGAGAGGCACTGCTCAGGCTCAGGGAACAAATCGGGGAGGGTCAGACAGGGAGGCTGGTGGGGGACCCATGACCAGCACCCTCCAGGCTTGCTCAGCAGCCTTCCCCTCCCACTGCCATTTCTGTCTCTTTCTGTCTCCCCCTTTCTGTCTCTCTCTCTCAGTCTCTGTCTCTGCCTACCAGTCTCTCTCTCTCAGACTCTTGTCTCTCCCTCTCTGTCTCTCAGGCTGTCTCTTTCTGTTTCCCTTTTTCTTTCCATCTCCCTCTCTGTCCCTCTCCCTCTCAGTTTCTGTCCCTTTGTCTCTGTCTCCACTCGCTTCTGTCAGTCTTCCTCAGCCTCTGTCTCTCATGGCTGTGACCCTCCAAAGCCCGCAGACATGTGGTGCCCTGCAGCGATGTGTGCAGCGATGTGTGCAGTGAGATGTGCAGTGAGGTGTGCAGCGCTGATGTGTGCAGCGATGTGTGCTGACCCTGCCCCAAGTGGCAGTGTCACAGGGAGAGGTGAGTGCAGGCACCCAACAGCCATCCAACACAGTCAGTGCTGGGAGTGAACCATCAGGCACTGCCCCCAACAGGCAGCGCTCACAGGTGTATCCCATTCCCTGCAGCATTCCCTGCCACGAAGGTCGCAGGGTTGCAGACAGGACACTGCAGCTCAGAGACAGCTGGGGGCTCATCTAAGCCCATCAGGGAGGCTCCACCTCTCCCAGCCACTCGCTCCATGGAAAGTAGGGAATCACCCCCACCGGGTCCTTGGGGAGAATGAAAGGCACAGGGAAGGGGCGAAACAGCAGCTCCACTCCTGGCCACTTGTCTCACCCCAGATGCGAGGCAAAGTGTGGGAGCGGCCCAGAGGCCACTGTGGAAAGGGAGCTCCTTACCGAGTGAGGAGGCGCAGGGGCCTGGCCTGTTCTCTGCCGGGTTGACTATGGGGGGCCCAGGGCTGGAAAGCAGCCCCGCTTGGATGGTAAACAGGACCTGCCCACTGGCCTCACCGGCCACCAGCACAAACACCTACCAAGACTGGCTTTCTGCAGCATGGAGCACAGGCCTCTCTGCCCAGCCCTGCCATGGGCACGGGCTGCCCTTGTGTCGGCTGGGTGCCTGAGCCAAGCAACTCCCAACGGTTGGGTGCCCCGAGGCAGGGCAGACACAGGCGTCCCAGGACCAAAATAGCAGTCAGATGATCACAAGGCCCCATGGCAGGGCCCCCAGGGCAGGCTGCTCACAGCTGCTGCAGCTAAAGATAGGCGAGAAGGGCACGCGTCTTGGGGAAAAGTCGTGGGGAGCGAGCACCGTCCTGTCTGGGGCCATGGGCACAATGAGGTCACTGCGCTTCATTTCTGCAGAAGCCCTGGTGTCCCACCCCGAGGTGGCCCGGCAGAGCCTGGACAGTGTGGCCCACAACCTCTACCCGCTCCTGTTCAAAGCCAGCTACCTGCTGGAGCAGGCGGAGGTGACGCGCGCTGTGCTGGGGCGCTGGCCCCTGGAGGAGTTCCGGCTGGGAGCGCTGCTGGGTCCCAGTGCCGACCACCCCCAGGACCTGCGCGACCGAGCCTGCCGGGCCTGCCTGGAGGCGCTGGTGCGCGGCCTGGCCGACCACGTGCTGCAGGACCGGAGCCGCCGGCGGCTGCGGGTGGCCGATCTCACGGGCATCCGAGACGTGCAGGTGCAGCGGTGCCCGTGCGGGAGGGCGCTGGGCAAGTGGGGCCGCACCCGGCTGCTGGCCAGGACCTGCTGTGAGCTGCAGGCAGAGCCCCTCGCAGCCGGGCGCCCCGTCGAGGTCCTCGCCGACCTCTTCGTCACTGAGGGCAACTTCGAGGCGGTGGTGCAGGCTCTGAGGCCAGCGGGCCCGGCCCCTCTGCGGGTGCACTGCCCCTCGTTCCGGGCGGACAGCCTGAGCCCCAGCCAGCTCCTGCACGTGCTGCGTCTGGCTGGCCCGGGTGCCCTGCGCAAGCTGGAGGTGGTGCACAATGTGCGGCTGCATGCGGGCCACGTGCACCAGCTGCTGGCCCAGGTGGGCTTCCCCCGGCTGGCCTCGCTCACCCTGCCCACCAAGGCCTTTGATGCACCCCCCGCCTGCGCCTCCACTCCCGACGGTGAGGACCGCCTCCTCGCCTCCATCGCGCGGGAGCTCAGCAAGATGACGCAGCTCACCGAGCTCAGCGTGGCCTTCTCCAGGCTGACCGGGAAGATCCCGACGCTGCTTGGGTGAGTCTCAGGGACAGGACTGAGGGCCGGCTGGTGGCTGCAGAGGCAACCAGAGATAGTCCAGGGACTGCTCACCTCCAAGGCCATGAGGCTGCGTGGCCCCCAGCCTCTCACTCCGGGTGTGGCCAGAGCAACAGGACAGTGCCCCGCCAAGGGGCAAGGGCACTGAAAGAGCCACCAGGAAAGAACCGGGGTGCCATGTGTGACTTAGGGATATGGAGAGAATGCCAGTTAAAAAAAGAGAATATCCAAATTACCAAATAGACAAAACGAAAGTCCCTACATGGTGTGGGGAGTTGTCTATTGTGGATTCACAAATCATCCCAGCACCTGGGGGCTTCAAACACGGTTTCAGCTCAGAAATCTGAGCCCCTCGGTGCCTGCGGCTCAGGGCTGCTGTCGGCCAAGGGTGCCATCTCATCCGAAGGCGGGATCCTCCCTGTCTCCCTAGAGGGAGGCCTGGGCTCCGTGCTGCATGGACCTCCCCATGGTGGGACAGGAGGCTCATGCAGGATCCTCTCAGCAGTTCTGCGTGAAGCGGGCAGAGAGGGCAGCAGCCAGGAAGGGGCCAGGCCAAGGCAGCCTCAGGCAGTGGTGAGGGGGATGCCTGGCAGTGGGTTCAACGGGGGTGCCCAGCAGTGCGTCCTGGATGGGGAGTGCCCGGTGGTGGGTCCTGGGGGGTTGCCTGGTGGTGGGTCATGGGGGTGGTGCCCAGTGGTGGGTCCTTGGGGGGGAGTGCCCAGCAGTTGATCCTGGGGGGTTGCCTGGTGGTGGGTCCTGAGGGGGGAGTGCCCAGCAGTTGATCCTGGGGAGTTGCCTGGTGGTGGGTCATGGAGGGAGGGTGCCCAGTGGTGGGTCCTGGGGAAAGGGGTGCCTGGCAGTGGGTCCTGGGAGGGAGACTGGTGGTGGGTCCTGAAGGACGGGCACTTGGCGGTAGGTATTGGGGGGGTCACCGGGTGATGGCTCCTGGTGGGGCAACCTAGCGGTGGGCCTGGGGGGCACCCAGTTTTGGGTCCTTGGGGTGGGACCTGGCAGTGGATCCAGGGGGAAGGGGCACCTGGTAGGTACTGGGGAAGCACCTAGCAGTGGGTCCTCAGGTGCTGGAGGGCGTCTGGCGGTGGGTTCTGGGGGCTGGGGGCACCTGCAGTGGGTCCTGGTGGGGCACTTGGCAGTGGGTTTTGGGGGGAAGTGGCTGGCGGTGGTGGGGGTGCCTGGTGGTGGGTCCTGAAGTGGGTGCACCTGGTGGTGAGTCCTGGGATGGAGGGTGGCTGGCTGTGGGTCCTGGGGCGGCACCAGGCAGTAGATCCTGGTGTGGGATACCT